CTCTGCTAAGGAGGCGTAGGAGACCATTGCGGCGATGCGCGTCGGGTCCGACCGCGCAAAGAAGGCGACGACCCAGCTTCTGAAGCAGGAGTACGCCAACCTCAAGCTCAAGGATGGTGAAGCGGTGGAGGATTTGTCCCTCTGCCTACAGACGCTCATCAGCAAGCTAAGAAGCCACGTCGTCACCATCGACGAAGAAGAGGCGGTCTCCAAGTACCTCCACTCTGTGCCGTTGAAGTACATCCAGATTGCTCTCTCCATAGAGATGATACTAGACTTGTCCACCCTCACCATTGAGGATGTGACAGGCCATCTGCGGGTGGTGGACGAGCGCATGGAGCAGGCCACAGCAACGAAGGACAGCGGCCAGCTGCTGCTGATAGAGGAGGAGTGGGCTACCCAGAGGAACTCCGAGAAAGGCTCCTCCAGCCGTGGTGGCGATGGCAAGCGCCGCGGCAAGTCTTCTTTGGAGAAGAAGATGAAGGTCGACCCCAACGCCTGTCGGCGCTGTGGGAAGACATGCCATTGGGCAAAGGAGTGCCCAAATCGCAAGCAGGAGAAGAAGGCTGAGGCTCATCTGGCGTAGGCTGATGATGATGATGAGACCACTCTCCTGATGGTGACATTCTGTGCACTGCACGACGTTGAGGCCATGGAGAAGGAAGATGTGATGGCGGTGAAAGGGCCTAGGAAGGCTCTGAAGGCTGTCCACCTCAACGAATCATGCGCCCAAGTCCACCTCGGACGTGTGGGCGGCGGACAAGAGCAGCGGTGGTACCTGAACTCTGGCGCCAGCAACCACATGACGGGCTCCAAGGAAGCCTTCTCCGAGCTCGACGACGACGTGACCGGCACGGTGAAGTTCGGTGATGGCTCAAGGGTGGCGATCCGAGGGCGCGGCACCATCATCTTCAGGTGCCAGAACGGCGAGCACCGCGTGCTAACGGATGTATATTACATCCCGTAGCTGTGTTCAAGCATCATCAGTATTGGCCAGCTGGATGAGCGCAATAGCGAGGTACTGATTAAGGACGACGTCCTCAGGATCAAGGACCGGGAGCAGCGCCTTCTTGCTAAGGTGAAGAGGTCCTAGAACTGGCTATACCTGCTCGACTTGAAGATGGAGCAGCCGGTGTGCCTGGCAGCACGGCACACCGAGGAACCATGGCTGTGGCATGCCCGGTTTGACCATCTTAGCTTCGACGCGCTCAGTCGGCTGGAGAAGATGGTCTGAGGGCTGCCCCACATCAAGCACGGAGGCGAGTTGTGTGACAGCTGCCTGGCCGGGAAGCAGAGGAGGCTACCGTTCCCAAAGGCGGCAAAGTATCGCGTAGTGGACGCTCTTGAGCTCGTCCACGGTGACCTTTGCGGGCCAATCACGCCAGCCACAAACGGTGGTCGGTGGTACTTCCTCCTGCTCGTGGATGATTGCAGTCGCTATTTGTGGCTGCAACTCCTGACGAGCAAGGACGAGGCTACGACAGCGATCAAGAAGTTCAAGGCGCGTGCGGAGGCGGAGAGCGGCAAAAAGCTGCGCGTGCTAAGGACTGATCGTAGCGGCGAATTCACTTCGGTGGAGTTCGCTGCGTACTGCGCGGATCAGGGTGTGGTACGACACCACACCGCGCCGTACTCGCCACAACATAATAGCATGGTGGTGCGACGGAACCAGACAGTGGACGGCATGGCTCGATCCATGATGAAGGCCAAGGGCATGCCGGTAAGGTTCTAGGGTGAGGCGGTGACCATGGCGGTGTTCATCCTCAACCGCGCGTCCACCAAGGCCCTGAAGGGTAGGACGCCATTCAAAGCTTGGTATGGGCGCAAGCTAAGCGTGTCTTTCCTCTGGACATTTGGCTGCATTGGCCACGTCAGGAAGACGAAGCCGGTACTCACCAAGCTAGAGGATAGGAGCACACCAATGGTGCTCCTGGGCTACGCGGAAGGTACCAAGGCGTATCGGCTCTATGACCCACGTAGAGGCAAGGTGCTTGTCTCGCGCGACGTAGTGTTCGACGAGAAGGCGGCCTGGGACTGGGACAGTCCGGGCATGGGGGAAGCTGGCGGCTTCACCAGCACCTTCGTCGTCGAGCACTTGGTCATCCACGGTGGTGGAGACGCTGGAGAAGAGGTGCAGACCACTCCAGTAACAGAGTCGAGCACTCCTGGGGCAGTGCCGAGCACTCTGAGAGGGGTGCCGAGCACTCCAGGAGTGGTGCTGAGCGGTCCTACAGTGGTGCCGACCACTCCAGGATGGGTGCCGAACACTCCCGTAGCAGAGCCGAGTGCTCTTGCAGTGGTGCCGACCACTCCAAGACTGGGGCTGAGCACTCCTATAGTGGTGGTGACCATTCCAGGAGTGGTGACGAGTGGTCCCGGAGTAGTGCTGAGCACTGCAGCCAGGGTGCCGAGCACTCCAGGTGCTGTGCCGATCACTCCGGCGGAACAGGGAACTCCATCGACGCCGATCGAGTTCGCCTCACCCCCAAGTGACATCACTGAGTTCATGGATGCCTTCCACAACGGTAAGGAGGTGCGGTTCCGCAAGCTAGATGACATCATCCATGACATAGGGCCCTCAGGCCTGGTGGGACGGTTGCTCAATGAAACAGAGCTGCTTCTCGTCAGCGTAGAGGAACCACCCACGTTCGCGCTGGCCGAGCGTGATGCAAATTGGTGATGGGCGACGCTGGAGGAGATGAAGGCGATCAAGGAAAACGAGACTTGGGAGCTCGTCGATCCACCTCCAGGATGCCGTTCGATCAGCCTGAAGTGGGTGTACAAGGTCAAGCGAGACGAGCACGGCGCTATTGTCAAGCACAAGGCGCGCATGGTGTCTGTCCGACTGCTTCTGGCTTTGGCAGCAGCGAAGGACTGGTGCGTCCATCACCTGGACGTAGAATCAACCTTCCTCAACGACGAGCTGGGGGAGACGGTCTTCGTCAGGCAACCTCCGGGTTTCGCCGTCAAGGGAGCGGAGCACAGGGTGCTCCAACTGTGCAAGGCGCTCTACGGGCTGCGGCAGGCCCCGCGAGCGTGGAACGCCAAGCTTGACTCCACGCCGCGCGAGCTTGGGTTCACATGGTGTGCACCGAGCATGCGCTCTACACGCGGTGATGGGAAAGGAGGAGCTCGTCATCGGCGTATATGTGGATGACTTGATCGTCACCGGCACGCGTGCGGAGGACATCGACAGCTTCAAGCGCGAGATGGCGGCTCATTTTCGAATGAGCGATCTCGGCGCGCTCTCCTACTACCTTGGCATCGAGGTGAGACAGGGGAAGGAGGCGCTCACGCTCGGTCAGAGCATGTACGCCTCGAAGCTGTTGGAGCGGAGCAGCATGGCTGAGTGCAAGCCGTGCGTGACTAAGATGGAGGAGCAGCTGAAGCTGACGAAGGCCAGTACGGTGGCGAAGGTAGATGCAACACTCTACCAGAGCATCGTCAGCGGTCTACGCTACCTAGTCCACACGAGGCCGGACATTGCATTCGCCGTGGGCTACGTCAGCCGCTTCGTGGAGGATCCTCGAGAGGATCACTAGGCCACGGTGAAGCGGCTGCTGCGCTACGTCAAGGGGACGGTGGATCAGGGGATCGTTTTTCCCAAGACCAGCGGAAGTAGGCTGCAGCACACTGTGTTCAGCGATGCAGACATGGCGGAGGACATCGACGGACGGTGGAACACCTCTGGTGTGCTCGTCTTCCTCGGGTCAGCTCTAATCTCATGGCTGTCGCTGAAACAGAAGGTGGTGGCGCTATCCACGTGCGAGGCAGAGTACGTGGCGACAGCCACAGCGGCGTGGCAAGCTGTGTGGCTGCGCCGGCTGCTGGGCGAGCTGACCGGTGTGGAAGCTCACCCACCAGCACTGATGGTGGATAACCAGCCCGCCATCGCCCTCGCGAAGAATCCGGTTCTCCATGACCGGAGCAAGTGCATCGACATCAAGTTCTACTTGCTCAGGGACTGTGTCGATGGAGGGCAGATCCTCATCGAGTTCGTCGAAACTAGTCGTCAACTCGCGGACGTCCTCATCAATCTGCTCGGCCGTTTTCGACTCACGGAGCTGAAGAAGGTGATCGGCATGGAGGGGGTTCTAGGGCTAGCAACAGGATTAGGGGAAGAATTGTTAAGTAATCTGCTGCTCCCTGTGTGAACGCACAGCAGGGGAAGGCGGCGCCGAAAGGGCTCCCTGCTGTTGCACTATAGCGGCTGCAGGGGCAGGCGTCGAACGGCTCTCCTACCGTACTGTAGCCACAGCAGGGGCGGCGCCAAAGTCAGCCCTACTGTCACATCTAGTCACTGTAGCAGCATAGCAGCCTGACATGTTTGTGTAATAGGATTAGATGAGTAGAGTTATATATATAGTTTGCCTCTGCAACTCAGTAAAGAGAGCGAGTTCAGTTTTGCCATCTCCTCTGCAGAGCTCCGGCCGACGCTGGTGCTTGTGTTGTGTGTGTGTGCTGTTCTTCCTCCCTTCTTCTATCTCTAGCCATAGTGTATGGTCGGCAACGACAGTGCGTGGTCGGCAAGCCGTGGTGAGTGATCGACCCACCCGTACCGGAGATCTAGGGGCTAACAATAATGACCTAGTGTAGTGTTGCCTGTAATCCTGGTTAGAACTTGTACCAGTCAGTAAATTGTGCTACATGATCTTTCAGTTATGCAGAAACTCTGTATCAGACAGTGGTTCATGGATGTCCTGGGATTGTCACTGAACAAATACAGCAAATTCCATTATACAAGTTTCTGCAGCGTAGTTACATAAATAGACTGGGTAATATCTACCAAGTCATGATAATAGATATGACATATTTGATATATATACTTGGAACCCTTTATTTTCCTTTCCTGGCATCTGTTCGATGTCCAGGATTCGACAACGGACAACCTCACAGTTAAGAACATTTATGACTGGCATGCTCCCTTCAGCGTTGTAGCACCTGCATGACCTCCTTCATCGTTGGCCTTAGTGATGGTTTTGGTCCTGTGCAAATTAGTCCTAGCTGAATACTAGTTGAACCTCACGGAAGTTGGATGCATCTCGTATATTTTCATCAATTACATCCATCAACTGAAAGTTGTCTTCTTGGAATTGCCGCCAGGCCCATTGTGCCAAATTCTCATGGCCACCATCCTCACCAGTTGCGCGTCTTCCAGTTGTCAGCTCCAAGAGAACCACCCCGAAGCTGTAGACATCAGCTTTCAAGTTGATCTTTCTTATGCTTGCAAACTCTAGCAAATAGTGGGATTCATCTCCTTCATATAGTCATACCACTTTGTTCAATATGAAAGGGAAAAATAAGATACTATTTTCTTACCTGGAGCCATATATCCAAAGGATCCGACCATTGCTGAGATTGACTCTGGCTCGCCAGCTTTAACAAGTGCACGTGCCAGACCAAAGTCTGCAATTTTTGCTTTGAACTCAAGATCCAACAGGATATTGCTGGACTTGACATCTCGATGTGCTATAGGTGGACATAAATCATGGTGCATGTAGCTCAGTCCTTTAGCTGCATCGATTGCTATTGACATCCTCATTGGCCAATTTAACTGTTCAGTTGTCAGATCTCTCTGATGCAACCAATCATATAGGCTACCATGTTCCATGTATTCATAGATCAGGAGCTTCGACTCGGAGGTTGATATGAAGCCAAGCAGCTTGACAATGTTAGCATGCCTGATAGATCCAAGAGTCCCAATTTCAGCTTGAAACTGTTTTTCCAGCATACCATCCTTCTTTAGGCCATTACCTATTTTCTTGACAGCTATCTTGCAGTTGTTACCGAGGCATATCTTGTATACCTTTCCCGAGCCACCTCTACCCACAAGGTTATTGTTTGTAAGACCACAAAGAATGTCTTCAACATTATAACTAATGGGTTGGAAGGTTGTTAGCTTCCACTGTGGAGATGGAGCCTCATGCTTTTTCCTAGACCTAATCTTAATGAAACAAAAAATCCCTGTGAATACGAGCATTGTTGAACCAAGGATTAGGAAAATGATTATGGGCCTTTTCAAATGTTTGTCTTGTTCTTCTGGACCTGGTTGTGTGCTACACATAGGATAGTTGCCAAAGTTGTAGGAGCAGAGACCAGGATTGGATAGAAAGCTCTGCTCAAATTCGTTTATCTGAAAAACAGGTGGAATATGGCCTGTCAGTTGGTTATTAGAGAGATTGAGGAGGGTAGGTCTCAGATATATAAGGCTTGCTGGTATTGGGCCAGAGAGGTGGTTCTCTGAGAGATCTATGGTATCAATTGCCATACTTAAATCCACGGTGTCTAGTGGGATGTTTGGGATCTCACCAGAGAGATTGTTTTTCCTAAGGTCAAGCTTCTTTAGGTACTGCATGTACCAGATCCTTGAAGGTAGTAACCCTGATAACATATTTCCAGCCAGGACGAGGACTTGAAAGGTGCATGTAGGATGAGGTTTGTTGGGACTTCACCAGAGATGAAGTTGTTTTCTGCCATTAACATATTTAAGTTGTCTGCTGACATTGGTAAGGTTCCAGAGAATCTGTTATTGCTGATATTAATTGTTGTTATATTTGAACTCAACTTACTTGGCAGTGAGCCAGAGAAACCATTTTCCTGGATCATAATCATAGTCAACTCTGGCAGTGACCATAGGCTGCTTGGAAAACTGCCTCTAAGCTGGTTATTGTTCAAGAATATGGACCTCAATCTCCTGCAGCGCAAGAGAGACTTTGGGAGTTCACCCGACAATCTATTATTGGAGAAATCAATGTACTAAAGGGCCTGAAATGAGCAAAGGCCCTCAGGTAGCTTCCCAGATAAATTGTTAGATGAAATTTCAATATGAAAAAGCATGGAATGCTTCCCCAGCTCATTGGGAAGTCCACCAGATAGAAAGTTGCGTGAGAGTTGCATATCATGGAGCATGGGAAGAAGTGCAATACCATTCGGAATCAAACCTGAGATATTGTTGTCATGCAACAAAAGGAGGGTCGGGTTCTTCAGCTTACCAAAATCCTCTGGTATCCTTCCTGTGAGTAGGTTGTTTGAAACATTGATCTCGGTCAAACTCATTGCTTCAATTGGTCCACTTATATGACCACACAGAGAGTTGTTGACTAGATAGAGCATTTCCAGACTTCTCAACCTCCAAACCCTACTAGGAATCATCCCATTCAATCTGTTAGAAGACAAGTCGAGTAGCCTAAGTTGACTCAGCTGAGACATGGTGTCTGGAATTTCACCAACTATATTCATGTTGTTCATCCACAAATATTTTATGTTGCTCAGATTCCCAAACTGTGGATGCATCCTGCCTGGAGCAAAGGGATTATAAGCAAGAGATAAACTTGAAGTTCTGAGAGATTTCCAAGCTCAGCTGGGTAGCTTTCATTAAAATAATTGTTATCAAGGTGGAGAAATCGAAGACCATGAAGCTGGCAGATTGCACTTGGGATGCTGCCAGATAAGCTATTTGATGCGAGGTTTAGATAGGCAAGCTTTGGTGACAATTTATGGATGTTTGCAGGAAGAAAACCAAACAATGAATTGAATGAGAGATCCAGGTGCTGAAGTCTAGAGGAATTGAAAATAGATGTACGGAAAGAACCTGATATTTGGTTCTTGGATAGATCGATGTAAAATAGATTCTTGAACGAGCAAATTGCTTTTGGAATTGGCTTGTAGAGGTCACGGCCAGCAAGTGATAAACCTGTTACAAAGCCATCTGTGCAAATGACGCCTGACCAATCACAATGATCGGTGTTTGTGATGGAACTCCAGTTCAGAGCCGCAGGCTTGCCCCAGTCTTGCTCAAGCTTTAGAAGCGCTGCCTTCTCAGAATCCCTAGTGATGGACTCACAATTAGATTTGAGGATATGAATATTGAGGAGGACCAGAGTTAGCATGAGGATGCCACGAACAAGGTAGAGACTAGCCATGATACTTACTAGAAGATGTTGTTAAGTTCATGTATTCTATACAATGAATCTGAATGAAGACCTTGCAGTCAAGGTCTACTGATCAGTCAAAACATGTCACTGTCTTTCTATTATTGCCTTTGAATAATTCTATCGACACTACGGACTGTTGACTGCTTCAGTTCCTTGAGATGTTTTTTTTCCGAAAACACAGCAAGAGAGCAAGTACAGAAAAATCAAACAACGGACAAGAAAAGAGGATAAACCACTAAGAGAAAGGGCACACTAAGGCCCCTGCTTCCCAACTAAATGAAAAAAACGACCAGATTAGCAGTCCGTTCGCTCGTTGGTTTGAGCCAGGGCTTATCAACCGTGGTACAGTATTTTCCTCTCGTAACAAACCAGCATCAGCCGGACTTATCAGCGCAGAAACCAACCAGCGAACATGTTGTACAGCTCGAGCCTCCTCTAAACTCATAGAAACTATTTCCCCCATTTTGTGAACCATTTTTTCTAGTTGCCAGCTTGAACATATTGATCTCTTCCTGAGAAAGGCTAATTGAAGAGGTTGCAAAGATACACGCTAGAAAATTCTTCGATTCCGCTCCTTCCAGATATTCCACCAAAAATAGACCAAGATGCCATCAGTTCCTTGAGCTGTAAGTAGGGATGTAAACAGATCGGATATGGAGGGTTATAAATACGGATAGCTACATTATTCGTCGGACTCGAATTCGGATACGGATAATGTCAGCTGTTAGATAAGATATGAATGGATATCAACAAACCATAATATATATATATATATATATATATATATGAATTTGAGTATCCTAATTTTGTTACATACAGCCATGTGGGTTTCTGAAAGTAAAGATACTGATCCCTTCAGTCGGATAGTCGGTCAGGAAATATCCATAACATTTTTTTAATGAACCTGGCAGGAGCTCCGCCTCTCAATAGAAAGAGAGTTTATGTTCAGAAAGTGCCATCGGCACGAAACCCCCAAAGGGCACATAGAGTAAAGTAAAGCATACAACACACACGTCTTGGGGGATAGATACAAGGTCTAAGTCAGGTTGTTGAAGACCCTAGAGCATAGGTCGATGTCCTCTTTGGTTTTGGAGACTACCTGCCGGACATCCATCACCAAATTTTGGAAAATCCTCTTTCCTTCCAAATGTTCCACATTGTGTAGATGACCACCCCGTTGAAGTGTCTACGTCTCTGCCTTGGGATGTTGGCCGCCCCCTGTTCCCACCACGCCCTTATGCTAGATGGTTGCACCTGAGGCCGAATTAAGTCCACATCGAAGTGTTCCCACCCCAGCACAAGGCGCAACACAAGTGAAGGGCCGTTTCCAGTGGTCCATTGCACAACACGCAATGGTCTTGGTGTGGCCAATTTCTTAGCTGCAAGTTGTCTGTCGTTAGAATCTTGTTTTGTATGAGAATCCAAGTGAAGACTTTGCATTTGTTTTCGGCACGTGCCTTCCAAATAAGATCCTGGAGGAATCTGCGGTAGGATCCTTGGAATTGTATGCAGTATGCTGATTGGGTTGAGTAAATGCCATCTGTTGACCACTTCCAAACAATGGAGTCCCGTATTCCAGGCTACAGCTGGATGTTCTGTACCCTGAGCCACAGTGAGACGAATTCCTCTAAGTGAGTGGCTGTTGTGATCCTGCCTCTGAGCAAGCAAATTCAACTGTTATTGTGGAGCTCTTGCTGGACCGTTCTATTTTTCCTCTTAACAAGTTCAAAGAGGTGTGGCGCAAGGTTTTTGGGAGCTTGACCGTCCAGCCAACTATGATGCCAGAACTGTGCTTTCTTACCGTCCCCAACCGTGACGATGGTTGAGGCATTGAAGAGGAGTCTATCCGCTGGTTTACAAGGCAAGTCCATACCAGCCCAAGGTTTGGATTGATCTATCCAGTCCTGCCACAGCCAACCCAATCGCAACGCTCTCCCAAATTTCTCCAAGTCTAGGACCCCAAGGCCACCAAGCTCTTTTGGTTTTGACATTGTCGGCCAGTTGACAAGACAGTGATATCCATTTGTGTTTTCTTCCCCTTTCCAAAGGAATGACCTGCGGATTCTGTCAATCTGTTTTTTGGTCCAGGCAGCAAGTGGGAAGACAGTGAGGTGGTAGGTAGGCATAGACGATAGGACCGAAGTGACCAGCGTTACAACTTGCCCTTCCAGCCAGGTAATCTCTAGCCGATTCGCTCTATGAGGGGTTGCACGTGTACTTTACACAGTGGCCTGTAGTGCAGCTGTAGACCAAGGTAACGGCACGGAAAAGTGTCTCTGGTCCCCGAAAAGGACAAGAGAACATGATCAAGGTTGATATCTTTCGCATCTAATCGGGTGGACGGAGCTTTCATCCATGTTTATGCACAGCCTAGACACCTTCCCGAATGTCTCAAGAATGATCTTGACGACGTCGATGTCCTCTTTTTTTGGGTTTACAAAGATTGCAGCGTCATCAACATACATGGATGTTTTCCACTTTGCCGCAACAAGAGGCAGCTGCGTGAGGACGTTGTGGCTGGTGGCAAGGTCCAACAATCGTTGCAATGGGTCCATGGCTAAGATGAAGAGCATAGGTGATAGTGGATCACCTTGGCGCACCCATCTGGCGTGGCGGAATTTTCCTCCAGGCACGCCATTTAGCAAGGCTCTAGAGGCTGCTGTGAAGATGGAGACCCACTCGCGCCAGCGATGCCCAAACCCGAGAGCTTGCAGCACCTCAAGCAAGTAGCTCCAGCTGACCGTGTCGAAAGCTTTCTGGATGTCGAGCTTCATGAAAAGTGCCGGCGTTTTGGACGTAAAAAAGGCGCTTCACAGTGTTCTCGATGTAGAAGAAATTATCATGTATGCTTCTTCTTTTTTTATGAAGGCACTCTGACATTTTGACACTAGGGAGTCCAGCAACGGTGCCAGCCTGTTCGCAAGGATTTTGGAAAAGAGCTTGGCGATACTGTGGATCAGGCTAATAGGTTTGTAGTCCGTGACCTGCCTTGCGTCAGGCTTCTTGGGGAGGAGGATGATGTTGGCTGAGTTAAGGAGGTCAAAGCCCTGTGAATTCATCATGAAGAGAGCATTGATAGCCGCTACTACATCGGACTTGACTATTTCCCAGCATGATTTGAAAAAGGCTCCGGTGAAGCCATCCGGGCCCGGAGCCTTGTCTCCCGGCATGGAGTGGATGGTTTCCTTGATCTCATCTTCGGTGAAGGGGGCTTCCAGCTCCGAGAGGTCGCGAGGGCTGTACCCAAGAGCGGACCACAAGAGGGTGGCCGGTCTTGGGACCACGGTGCCTAGGTGGTTCCGGAAGTAGTCGCCGATTACCTCCTCTTTGTCTTTGTGCGTGAGGGCAATCCCATTGTCACTTTGCAGGCGCTGGATGTAGTTTTTTCTGGCTCTTGAACTCGCACGAATGTGGAATAGTTTGGTGTTGGCGTAGCCGTCTTTGATGTTGGTGAGGCGAGATTTTTGCCTGATTCTGGATTTCTCTATTGCTGCAAGGCCCATACTACGAATTTTTAGCTGTCGCCTGAGCTGTAGTTCCTCCTGAGACAGGGATCTGTACTCCTGTGCGGCCTCAAGTTGCAGGAGGATTTCTTTTACTAATGCTAGCTGCAGCCTTGTATCGCCTATTTTCTCTTTTCACCACCGTTTGATGCCCTTTGCGACCCGGGATAATTTAATGTGTAGCCGTTTGAGAGGTTGGGTCGACGGGTTTGTTCCAGATGCCATGAACTAACTCCTGAAACCCCTCCATTTTTGTGCAGAAATTTTCGAAGTGAAAGCACGCATTATGATGCTGTTGCATCTCTCGAGAAGAGGTGTGTGGTCTGACATAAGAGATGGCAGCGAGTGTAGGAAGCATGACGGGAATAGCAGCTCCCATTCAGTCATCTATCCTGGTGAGAGTTGGCGTGTCCTGCTCATTGCTCCAGGTAAAGCGCCGCTCGTTCATGTAAGTGATGATTTAAGGGACCAAAAATTGTGTTTCTGTACCAACTATTGGGTGGTGGTTACATCAGTTTCCTTGAGGAAAAAAAGAGGAATTTACTAATTTTGGGTTTTGTGGCATTCTGTTGGACTATTTCAAAATCTGAAAAGTTGTTTGTTTCTAAGAAAAGTTCGTCAAAAGCCATGGTTTACATTTCCTTTTCAATCTGTCACTAGAACAATTCTGGTGGAAGGGAAGGCACAAGGTGCTATGTAAAGCAACTCGTTAGTTCTGTCAAATGGCATTTAGAGAGGAGGCGGGCATATGCCTGTTCTCTCCCTGCTACCTCCTCTATAACCAATGCTGGGCTGGTCTCTCTCCCCACCTGACCCGAGCAGCACCCCCTTTTGTCAGCCCAACAGCCTCACGCAGTAGTTTCTTTTCCTGCTTTTTTTCTCTTCTACTTACAGGGTCTACCCTGTTGATTTTATCTTGTTTGGGTTGGGCCTGATCTTTTAGATGTTTGTAATAATGTTTTTATACTTCTCTTAAAGGTGGATGTTATGATGCTGTTTTTTTTGTGTGTGTGTGCGTGTGCACACGAGAATTGTCTCATTGCATTAAGAAAAAAGAAAATGAATTTATTACATACAGCCATACGGGTTACTAGATTACATGCGCCTTTTTTATGATACAAAAACAAGCATAGCCTAGACTCCTATTCTCTACTGGCTTATAATGAAATCAACCCTTTGGTGCCAACCATGCACCACAAGTGGATGGAATGGTGCTAGGAGTCGTCCAACTCGAAAGTTTCCTTTAGATGTCTCATATCTGCTTTTCTTATCTTGGGTGCTGCTTTCAACCTTCTGTTGTGGGATGGTATATGTTATGTTATGTCTATCCTTTTATTGTTTGTATCCTGGACTCTCTAAGAATCTTTTCTTTCTAGTTTTGCTAACTGAAATTGGTATAACCTCCAGTTCTAGGAGAATATATCCTTTTGGTTCCTCGAAAAACAAGAGCACATAACCTGTTCATTCTGTCATATGACTCTGATA